GGTGTCTTCTTGGTTCAGCATGTCTGGAAAAACTCAGTCCACAATTTTTTCATTGGGTCAGCCCTAATGGAGCCTTTTGCCAAAACCACTCATTGGGTCGACCTTAATGAAACTATCATTTCAATATTGAGTTCTTTGGGTGTGGATATATATTTTTAGATTTATTTGAGAGGAAACGTATAATTAAATATTTTACTCTATTAAGTTTAATTTTAATAAAATATTTTGTGATTAGACACAAAATTCAAATAACATTTGAATTTTTTGTACTTACTTACCCTTCCTTAAATTATATATAATTTTTATTCTCTTATCTCTCTCCTATTTACTCTCAATATCTCTCTCTCCCTCTCACCATTACTCTTTCACTATTTTCTCTCCATGCCTCTCTCTCTCTCTTTATATATATATATATATATATATATATATATATCAACGTTACAACAACACAATTATACTAATCAGTTATACAAATCAGTTATAATACCTCTATAATAAACCAAACAGTTATTCATATATTTTAATAAACCAAATAATTACACAAAATTATGACACAACCTAATTTGTCGTTCAGTTCTTTACATAAACCAAGCGGTTGCACCATTTAGTATCATGACATAATTACACTAATTGTATACACCAATTTTGGTATAATAGTAAAGTTTTTTATGTAATGATAAAAACTCAATTTAGTGTATATAATTAGTGTAACTATATCGTGATGTTAAATGATGTAACTGTTTAATTCATATAAACAACTGAATAACAAATTGACTTGGTGTTTTAATTCGTGTAATTGTTTAGTATAACTGTTTGATTTATTAGAATATATATGTAACTGTTTGGTGTATTATAAAGTTATTGTAACTAATTAATATAACTGATTAGTATAATTGTGTTGTTGTAACGTTGATATAAAGAGAAAGAGAGAGAGAGAGAGAGAGAGAGAGAGAGAGAGAGAGAAAGAGTAACGGTGAGAGAAAATAGAGGGAGAGAGAGAAAAAAAAAAATATAAGATAAAGAGATGAAAAAATTAAATCAAATCTTTTCATATTTAAAAAAAAATTAAATTATCAATGTTAGGTAGATAGAGAGAAAATAGAGAAAATAGAGTGAGAGAGTAATAGAGTAATAAATAGTCTTTTAATCTTTTTTCAAAAAAATGCACTTTGGACCAAACAAGTTTTATTAATATAGTTTAACTCAATTAAGTTCAAATTTTTATACCAACTTCCAAATTCTCCTTCAATATTTGTTCACATTTGACATTATTTTGGTTGAGTCGACCAAACATGCTCAGACAAATGAGGCCCACAACTTGTCTATCGGGTTGGCCCCAATGCGATCGTTAGATAGAAGAATCATTGGGTCGATCCTAATGGAACTATCAACTATCTTTTCAATGTTTGTTTTTTTGAATTTGCTATATTGAAAACTACCTGTCGGCCAAAATGAGGCCCATAATCCATTTTTGTGGACCAACGGGCCACCCACAAACCATCACCTGGATCGTCCGTTCCCTACATTTTAGGGCACTTAGTTTTATTTTTTTGAATAAGACATACACATAATTAAGCACACAAAGTTTTACTACTTAGCCAACATGATAGAATGACTTGCTCAGCACTGAAGTGAATCCACGGATTCAACTTATAACTTGCACACCACTTTATGTCCATTGTACAACGCAAACCATGGGACACATTAGCACTGCTCGAAGTCGGCATTAGTACAGTACAACACTATATTGGTGAAAGAGAATGACATAATACCAACCCCTAAAGACTTTCCAACATTGTAATTAAATAGGGTGCAAAAAGATTTTGGTGACGGTGCTCATGAACCCCGTTTGGATTTTCTCTCACTCAATGAATTGCAAGTGTCTTTATCTCTGATTGATTAAATTACACTGACGCTGATAGTTGATAATGACTTAGTTATCTGTTACCTAATATGTTATCTTAACAGTCAAATGATTAAAGTTTTCAAATAAACACCAATACTCTCACAATTCATACGAATACAGATTTGTATTACATTCCTCTTGCTTTATCTTATTAAGAAGGAAAGTCCGAGCACAAGGCGGCAACTTAGCTTTTTTTGCAGCATTCAGAGTGAATGACAACGGCCTACTCCATTTACACAAAGAAAAAGCTACGGCATACGATTGGTTCGCTAACCCTGCGCCTCACACGGAGTCAGGACCTCTATTAATGCTTGGTATCTGCTAACAATTTTTTGTTAATAAATCCATCCCACATAATAAAAGGACTAGTCAATTGATTAGTGAACATTTATGACATTTTTATTTTGTTTTGATCAGTATAAAAAAAAGGTAAAATAAATCGTTATGTTTCACAATTTTTTTTTTTTTTTGGTATAGACGGTATCTTTTTATTCTTTATAATATTGACCATTTTTTTTTATCTCTATTAGCATTTAGTGGGCTTGGTCTAGTATGAGAAGTTTTGGGAAAGAAAAGTCATTAATACCCGCCAATTATTTATTCCTTCCTGCTACGATTTTAATGTCATTCTGGAAATATGAAAAGATGGTGGCGTGATTTTCACTAAACTTGGGAAAACCCACTTTAATTTACTAGAATTTACCTAATTATCAATGTTAAATCGTGGTGATATTTGATTGGTCAAGTTTAAATACTGTGACAACCCACAAAACACTATCTAAATGAGTGATGGTGTTGTATTATGGTAAAAGTCAAATGAAACCCACCCCCTGGCCCTACCTATTGAGTATAAATAATTTAAATAAATAAATAAATAATTTCACCAATTTTATATTAGAATTGTTTGAAATTGAATTGTGGGTTTAAAAAAGAGTGTCCTAATATATATATATATATATATATATATATAGTAGTATAAATCTCATATAATGTTTTTTCTCTCATTTTTTTTTTCACATGTAAACCATCCTTTCAAATGGGGGAATATAGTGGATTTTCATGAATTTATAATGAGTAATATCATAGAAGAAAATTTATAAAATATTTATTGCATTGAATCGAAAATTCATCGAAGAATATAACCCAAAAATAATAGATAATAATACATGCAAAGTAAATCGATCTTGCACAATTTACTAAAGACATAATTGAGATTAGTATGTGGAATGGCAAGTTTAATAATTTGAACTTTTTACCAATCGAAGACAACATCAACTAAACCATTGACTACATGGTTTAAGTAAAACTTTTTGAAGTGGGAATACTTTAAAAAATAAAAAATAAACCGATTTGTTTAAATCTTTGTGTCATTTGCAAGTACTCTATCATGGCCCACGACAACTGGGTTTAGCCTTTAGATATTCCACTTCGAACAGAGATCTCAAGACAATCATACTGATTACTTTGAACAGAATTGGAGATGGCATCTACGATTTTTCCACCATCACAAATTCCGCTCTTTATAAGGGCAAAAATTCTTTTACAAAATAATTCATCTTTTTTTTGATTTATTAATTGAGTAATGCTATTAGAATTTAAAAAGTTGACATAATTTATTAACTTAATAATATAATAATAATATGATCCAATAGAATTATTATGACCGTAATTATTAAGAGCTCGTTTGGTAACGTTTATGATTTTTGATTTTCTAAAAAATAAAAAAAAAGAATCAAAAAACGAAAAACGTCTTTTTTCGTTTTTTAAAATCGCCTCTCGTTTACAAAACGATGACAGAAAAAAAAAACGGTTATCAAACGAGTTTTTTTTTCTAAATATCAAAATAAAAACGAAAAACGTTATCAAACGGGACCTTAAAAACTTTTTTGTTTGGAACTGTATAACTTGATGCATCATTACATAAACAAATTATCAGTTTTTTATGTCCTAATAGAATTACTCTTATTTATTTTATAACCTAAAGTATAGGGTTTTATCACCTCTCCATTAGGCAAGAATTTAGTGGCCTAAGCATGCATGCACTTATTTGTTGAGGAGAAATTGATCTAATTAGGGGTTATTGATGTTATTAGTGCCCAAGAAGAAAATTTTTGATCCATTCCGATTAATCTTCCTTCCTAGTAATTTGAAAGTTCTTCTCAGATATAAAAGAAATGATTCAGTTCTAGATCTAAAGGTCATCATTCTCGAACGAGCAATAAAAAAAACTCTAGATCATCCTTAGGATTGAAATATCGACAAGTAGCATGGTGATTCTAAACTTTGTATTGAACTACCGTAAAAAAAAAAAAAGAAATATATTGTTCCTTCGATGCGTTGAAATGATTCCTAGCGAGATTTTCTATAGATCACTTAGAAAAATTCAAGTGTTTATATATTTTCATTATCACTATATGTGTGCTTGCGCGTGTCCTCGTAGATATGACACAGTTAGACTACAACGAATAGGCTCTCATTCATTTCGGAGACAAATTGAACCCCAATTTAGATTATTGCATTCTAATGATAATTTCAATAAATTACGTTATTTGTACTTGATATATTTTGTACCACATAATTTTCATTTGAACTACACAAAATGGACAATGTTATATGACACAGATACAGAGCGTTGTATCTTCTTATATGAATGGCAATCCATTGAACAACATGTTTAGGGATTATGAAGACAATTTGGATGAATAGAACGACATAGGCACTACAATTGATGATTCGAAATTAATAGTTTAACACTAATGTTATTGGGACATAATGAGTTGTCACCAATGAAATGATAGTAAAATATATTTAATGATGGGTCTCATTGTAGTATTAAATGAATTCATTATTATATCATTGGTGACAATTTATTATGTCTCAATAGCATTACTCATAGTTTAATCATATGATTTGAAAATATTAAAAAATGTACGACCCATATCTTGGAATTGACAATCATGTGATGCCATTAAGACAAAACACCCGACCAAGTGATTAATTAACCAAAAAAACTCAGAGAGAGAGAGAGAGAGAGGCTAAAGCAGATGCATGAGCCAGTCAAAACCTCAATTGGTAAAACTTAAAGTTGATATTGTTAACACAAAGGAGATCTATGAGGAATGCCTTTTCTTCTACTCATGCTTGTTGCCATGTCTACTTCTGTAACCTTGTTAGCTGATCTTCCACACACGTACAATCCACTTCTCTTCTTACGAACAAACTCAGTGCATGAAAAGCTCATGTTCTCCGACCCCAACGAGCCCGAAGATGAACTCATTGGCTCATCGCAGTCCTCAATCGTCGAATGAGGTGTCTCGTTGGTCAAGTCATCGTCACCCATGTCTTGTGGGATGAAGAAATCTGGACTAAGCTGTAGAGAATTGCATGTCCTTAAGAAAGGGGAGAGGTTCTTATAGTGCTTGAGCACAAAGTCCACCTAATAATCAATAGTACATGAAGCAACAAAGACCTTTAAGTGCCTCTAACCATAAGGCTTGTCGATTAATTGTAACTGTTTAGCAATGAATTGTGACTTTATCTATATATCATAGTCATATACAATTAGGAGGAAAGACAGTGGTGGAGAAAAAGAATATTCACAGGTGGGAATAGAATTACCTTGCACCCTAGAGAGCAATGGATGAAAGGTTCTTGGAGGCTCCTATCGCAAGAAGTACAATTGTTTCCAGAGCCTTTGAATTGCCTGTTTTGAGGCCTCTTTTTGATGAAAATCACTTTGGCACTATTAATAGTATAGGCCTGATAGAATTATGAGCTAAATTAGCAAATTAATTATGATGTGAACTGCAGTATATAAGGAGATGTCAAGATGGTAAATCAGGGTTTGCAGTGTATGATCACCTGAACGTTGGAGCAATCTATAAGCTTTTCTATGTCTTCCAATCGAACAACATCATGATAAACATATCGGCGAATTTGAAGAAGGCTATGGAAGCGATGAGAGGGCACACAATGGGGGCAAATACTGGTGCAACAATCCAAGCAGCATACATTTTTCTCATTCTTCTTTGCGATTTCATGAATTGAGCATGGCACGAAGAACTTCTGCATGTAGAGAGCTTTCAACCATGCTGGCTTCTGAATTCCCTAAACATCAAGCAGTGAAATTATCGTTTAAATGTGAAAAAGAAGGAAGCATAATAAGAGGGGGGAGAGAGAGAGACGTACCATGATCACACAATTAGTTCGAGTGAGAGTTTCACCTTGAGATAATGAGATGTTATGGGCAGTGGTGTAGAGAGAGAGAGAGAGAGAGAGAGGAAGGGAGAGAGGGGCTAGTGTATGGAGGTAAGTGTATTTATGGAAGGTCACAAGAGAAAAGGGTACGTATTTATTCCTTGGGTACACACACCACCACTTTGTCAAGCGAGAAACTTGTTCTATATCGTGTGTGTGTGTGTGTATGTGAGAGAGAGAGAGAGTCCTATTAAGTATTAACTATAGAAAAGGAAGTAAGATATGAGGAGAACGTGGGCGCTGTTCCCGTGTGTCCCATACCCTGCCTCCCCCTTTAAACTATATTTCTCTTCTTCTTGACAAAAGAGCTCCGACCCTAAACTAACTGAGCTTTTCTTGAAGGAGCTGCCATCGTAATTTTTTCCCCTTTTCCGGAATTTTGATTCTCATGTCTCGGTAAAATGGGCTGGAGCTACTTACCCTCTTGCTTGGACCAGGAAACTTAGGATTTGTCAACTTTATATACATGCATGAATGTATATGCATTAAGGTTTCTTTTTCATGACACTCTGAAGCATTGGACAGTAGATTGTATATATATGTGCTAACAATAGAACTCGAATTCAGGACATACAAGCTAATATCTTGTCGTTTGTTGGAGAAACTAACCAAACAGTCTGGAGAAAGTCTCAGCATGTCGAAATAGTATAGTTCTATTTTGTATAGAATGTATCCGAAACATAAAAGATTTGTGGAATTCACTAATTCAACAGTTCACGTGAGTTGATAACAGAAACTTGATGAAAATATTGGTCGGTGTAGCATTTTTGATAATGAAACTTGACCTCACTTACCTCCACTCCCACTCTTTTCCTCCATGCATAACTCCTACTACTGTGAAAGAAATAATGTGCAAGCTGTTGTATACGCTTGATGATTTCAAACATTTCCTAGTGATTCAATTTCAGCTGCATGATCAGAATGAAAAGAAATATTGGTATTGCAGTACTAATTGTCCATGTTTCATTTCTAGTGACTCCCGATTATTGAAGAGTGACTCAAAAAAACTGCTAGAACCATTTGGTGATAAAGAAACCCTTCGGTTGTGCCATACCTTCCATTTGATTCATGAACAATAGTTTTTCATGTGTGTTTGGTTGTAAATATAATTCAATTCTTTTTGTTTACTTGCTTGCATTCAATCTGAAAAAAAAAAAAAAAAAACTATTCTCTTTCATACTAAAACGAACAATACTACTGAAATCTAATTTATTGATCTTATAAATCACACTGTCATTGGATTAATTAACATTGAACCCCAATATTAGTTGGGATCCGTGGCTAATTCAGTAGGTATGATAAAAATTTTCAGCTAGAAATTTGATGATGTACTTTCCGGAGAAGCTTGACATTATGAAATGACAATGATTTACAAAGTAGCAAGAAAACTAAAAGTCGCAAAGGGTATGCTGTACCTTAGACAATAAGGCACTGTTTGGTTCTTAATTGAAGCTCTTTTGTCCATATTGCCTCGCCATGATAAAGTGATAAAACAAAGATATAGGAAACCCGGCTTCTAGGGAACCAAACATGGGCAACATTCAACAACAACTCCACTAATGAAAAACTTTAATAATAATGTGGTTTTGCTACAAACATTGACAGACAAACACAACTCATGAAATCACTATTCAGGGAAATTAATTACTTTATAAATTAATCTCTGGTTGCTAATCTTGAGGAGGCCTTGTGCGTTGTATACACCACTATGCTTCAACCAAGATAATCTTGGAGTTTGAAGCCTTAACCAATGTCCTATATTATTTCATTTTTACTCCCCCCTTCCTCCTCGGGGCTGGCCTTTCCACATACCTCCAGTCCACGACCAAACTGAACTCCCATCCCCTCCATCCCACCCCTTTCTTAGAACGAGATATCATTCAATGCATTTTTTTTCTATTTATCTTCTTAGAAATCGCTTACTTGAATTCTAGTAGTAACTCTATCCTTAATCCCAAAGATACCTTGCCTCTAGCTCCCCGAAACACCGGCACAAGTGCACAACTACCACACATATTGGGCAGGGAGAGGTATTTGGCTGATGGGCTTACCAGGGGAGGAGGGAGGAGGGAGGGGGGAGGGGGGAGGGGGAGACACTAGGGTTTTATGGCTATGGTTGGATTGGGTTAGAGTGAAGTTGTGTTTGGATTCGAATTTTATTCAACATTGATCAAAGCACAAAATGGTCATTTTATTGTTCTTTTCAACTCAACTAGTTGATTGTTAATTAACTTGCCTAACTATATATTTCATGAAACCTTAAACTTCGAACCCTAAATTTTTGATTTGATGTGTAGCATAATTGCTCCAATTCATAAGCTGTGTGAATGGAATTACTCAAATACAATGGCAAAATTATGTCATCATATTTGCTATCTTGCTTCTTCTAAGGCTTCCATTAGTGTGGGCCAAATAATATTGGTACATCCAAAAGCTTACTATGTCTTTCATTATATTATAGTTTTCCATTTTGAGATGATATAAATTAATTCTCGACCAGCCAAAATCATTATTACGCATTTAGTTAAAGTCTTGACTAGACATCTAAAGAAAAGAAAGAAATTAGATACTTAAAACTCACCGTTGATAATAGAAATAGGATAAAACAAACTATCTTAATTATTTACATCGTTTAATACAAAAACTCGAAAAAAACCAAGCAACACGCTCATCAACTAAATTTACAAACTACATTTTGTAGCACATAAACTTTGAAATACCCAAAAACGTGTGATCATCATCTCTCAAGATGTCACTGCACTTATACACATAAACTCAGAATTTAAACTAGAGAGCAAGAAACAGAAGAAAGTGTAGCCAACCCCACGTGACTGAGAGTGTCCCAATGAAAAAGCAGACTAATAAAGTATTTATCATTCGTACAAATAGTGAACCTCACATGCAAACTTTCACAAATATGAAAGCCAATTTGTCCGAAGCTTAAAGTGGGTGTGTCTTGAACTGACCAAATATTCCTTTTTTTCCCATGTTCTTCAAAGTTTTTTTTTTCTTTTTCTACATGGATATCTTAGTCAACTTACGTATATCTTGATTACTTATTTTTCAATTCGGTCAAAAATAGATCATCTACATCGGAACTAAGGTATTCATGAGAAAAAAATCTTTCATAGTCTGATTAGTTTTTATAAGTTGTTACACGACTTGATTAAGTGTGATACGAATTTGAAAACGATATAATTAATTAACATGAATATTAATTGAATTGAGTTAGTGTCAAATGTGAATACTTTGATTTTAACATGTTTAACTGATAATATTAGAAAAACTATATCATTCTATAATAAATCGTATACAATAGTTCTTTTCTCTAGTTTTGCTTGGAGGTTTATGAAATAGATTTTTAATTTCTGGGACAACCTATACACGATGGATTTGGTTAAGAGAATGAGATTTTATGAATGTAGTTTCTTATTCAAAGGTTATAAATATCGAGTAAAATACAATACAAATTTAATAAAATTTAAAATAGCATAATTCAACGATAACACAAACATATCAATAGTCAATTTCTTAGGACTAGGTTATAAAGAATTTATTTATTATGAATATCTTAATTTTGGTATGAACGACCTATTTTTGATTGAATTAAATAAAGAATTAATCAATGTGTGTCTAAACTGACTCGAATATCTTTCACCGTTAGAAGGAAAAAAAAAAAAAAAGTATGACAGGGATGTGAAACATCACTAGACGAACTCGATTGACGTATTAGAAAAATAAATTTTATCTTAAAAAAATACTAAAATTGATCATCATCAAGATTTGACTAACTCATCAACCAAACTTTGAGCTTTTGTTAATGGTGGGAACGAAATGACCTAAATTTCAACCATTTGTGCCGTTATTTTGGACCGAAGTGATACAAACTCATGTCTAACTTTGGGTCCGATTAAGAAATAATTTTTTTGACATTGCACTTCTACTTTTTATTTAATAAAAAATTGATAGCTTGTAAGCTTTTTAATTTTTTTAATTTTTCAACCAATGATTACAAACCATTTAAACCAAAATAAACGACTAAAAATATAAGGTATCAATGCAGTATGGTAGTCGTATTCGAATAAATTACTCACGGTTATACTTTATTTATTTGCACCATTTGTTTGGTCAATGGTCAAAAGATACAGAAGTGCACGAGGGTGGGAGGTGGATGAAAGAAAAGAGGAAAGAACAAGCAGAATGGTTCAGCGTGTGAGCCGCACGAGGGGAGATCTCTCTGTCTCTCTCTCTCTCTCTCTCTGTGTTATGCCCAGGAAAAAAAAAAGTCTGATATAAAGACCACTTTGTTCTGTTCAAAACAACTATTTTATTAGGCTTTATATGGACTCATATTTTTACATGCTTATATTTTAGTCACAGCCACATGCCACAAGAGGAGGAAAACAAATGCTTTACTTGCAGGGTGAAAATAAACCAAGTTTAATTCAGTCCTATTTGAATTCGGCTACTTCTTTTGTGAAAAAATTCTGGAAATTGATCTTGAGCAGTGACGAGCTTAAATCATATCGTTCAAGTTCGAATAATTCATTTGTTGTTCAAGTTTTGTCTCGATTTAAACGAAAGAAGTTCAAGCGTAAACTAGAATCTAAATTTGTAAGATTGACTCACTTATGCATAGACGTACTATTCATAACACATATTGGATATACATATATTTATGAACCTAACGAATTAAATTGTTATTACTCGTCTTGACCTTCTTATTTAAATGATTTTAAAATTGAGTTTGAGCTTTTTTCCTCTGGTAAATAAATAAATTTGAGCAAGCTTTTCATACGAATCATTGAGCTGTTCATGAATGTATCAATTGCGGCCCTAGTTTCCGTCTCCGATGACACCCATTTTTGCCTCTGTATGAGCATAGTTTCTTTGGAAAATTTTGGGCATCATTTGGTAAAAGAAGGTCTACCCATAGGTTGAGAAATTTCCGTTTGCAAGTTTAAAATACAAGTTTTCAGTCTATGAAAGTGCTTCACCAATCCTAGCATCGTTTAAACATGGTGCCAACCTTATTTGATACTGATGATGCACAAAAATAGTTTTGCACACCACCTGTCAAGTGTAGGTAATAAATGCAGTGAAATCAATGAAAAAATTAAATAAGGACACGATTTATAGTGGTTCGGTCAATTCGACCTACGTCCACTCTTCAATGGCTTCAGTTGCCGGGTATTTTATTAATTCAGAGGTATGGAGAATAGAGATACAAGCTTTGAGAGAATGGAGAATCAAAGAAGGAGTGGTCTCCAGTCGTCGGTCTGTCCTCTGTAAGTGTTGGTGGGGCGTGATCTTCTTCTCTCGTCTTCTCCAGATTGGGTCTACTTTATAGCAGCTAAGAGATCATTCTGGTGGAGATCATGACCTATCCTCAACGGAAGGAGGAGGTTGGGAGCTCTTCATGAAACGTGGTCAAAGCTTGGATCGTTTCCTTCGGTGGTGCAGATAAGCTTCTCATGCTCTCCTCTTGATGACGTGCTAAGCAAAAAGTCTAACCGGTCTTGGACTGTCTTGGGCTTGGTAGATTCAAAATGAGGTTGGGCTCCTCAACTGGAGTTGGACTTTAACACATGAATTAGACTATTTGGGCTTAATCCATCATTTGCCCCCCAATGCCCCATGTCCAATGAGACTTGGAGAAGGAGGTATTGACTATATTATTATTATTATTTTTTTTTTTTTTAAAACTTCAAGTCTTTCCCACTTTATTTTGAAGAGGGTTCATAATATTCTATTTGACCTTTTTATTTTAAAAAGGACTTATAACTTTCTATTTTGCCACTTTATTTTGAAGAGGGCCCATAATTTTCTATTTGGGCTTTTTCCCTCTTTTTGGAAAACCCTAGACTATAAATATAGTCTTCTTCTTCATGTTACCCATTTCACTCATTTTTAAGGTTGAGCACCCACCTCTTGAAATCTTGAAAACTCAAGTCCTACCCATTTTGTTGAAGCCAAAGTGTGTTCTCCTTGAATCCTTTCAAGAGTGTGATTTCTTCCTTGCTAGTTGAGCTTCTCAAGTAAACAATGTCGATTGAAGAGGTAGTGGTGGAGGTTGAAGAAAGGGAGGAAGTAGGCACTATTTTGGAGAACTTGGAGGCTGGTTTTGAGCATTCGAATGCTGTTTTGGACAGCTTTGGGGCTGTAAATAAAGGGTTGGACAGCGAAGGGGAGATGGGCAGCGCGAGGAGTGGCTTGGGCAGCGAAGGAAAACGGCTGGGCGTGCGACTGGACAGCGTAGGCGCGCGACTGGGCAGTGCATGCGCGCAGCTGCGCAGCTCGCGCTAGCACGGTGGGGGCTGGGCGGCTGCCTGGGCTCTGCTCCTCCTGTCCTGGACAGCCCAGGCGCGCTGGGCAGCTGCCTGTGCGCTGGCCTTGCTGTCCTGGACAGCCCAGGTGCGCTGGGCAGCAGCCTGGCTGCTGCTTCTGCCGTCCCGAACAGCTCAGCTGCGCTGGGCAGCTTCAGTTCTGCTGCGCTGGGCGGCTTTGGAACGCTGGGCAGCAGTATTTTTCCATCAAGGGGCGCTGAAAATCAGTCCAAGGTTCATCAGGGAGAGCTAGGCAGTGGCCTGGGAGCACGGGCTGATCCGATTCTCACTCGAGGCGCTGATTTGGGCCCCTTAGGTGCTGATTTTTGCGCCGAAAATTCTACTTTGCGCAATTTTGAAGGGCCAGGCACCCTTCAAGCTACTGGGCATCCTTGTTTTGACGAGCAACAGCAGTCAGGCACGCTTCCAGGTGTTGGGCTAGACATTGCAAATAGTAAGGAAGCTTTGGGTGCTGCCCTTGGTGATCAAGCCCCTATTGTAGCTCCCCCGATTCAAGTTCCTCAA